AGTGTGGATATAATCTATCTGTTGATGGGAATTTGGGTTGTTTCTAGTTTTGGTTATTACAAAAAAAGTTGCTATGAACACTATGTTCAATATTTGCATGGACATATCCTTTCTTTTCTCTTGGGTAAGTATCTAGGAATGGATCATATAGTAGATTTACGTTTAATTTTTTTAAGAAACTGTCAACCCATTTCCAAAGTGAGTATACCATTTTACATCTCCATCAGTAGTGTATGAGAATTCTATATCCCTGTGATTTTGATTTCAGATCAAGTTTGTCAAAGATATTTGCTTGGCATAGTAAATATTTTTACTTTTAGCTATTCTAAAGGCATGTAGTAGTATCAGATTGTAGTTTTGATGTGTATTTCCCTAATGACTAATGATATGGAACATTTTTTTCATGTGCTTTTTGCCATCATATCTCTTTGACTTGTTTTTTTCATTCTTTTAAAATTATATTTTGAAAAGTAAAGTGTTAACTTTTGATGGTGTGCAATTTATCAGTTTGTTCTTCTGTGGACTGAAATTTTGTATTGTAGCTAAGAAATATCCTCCTAACCCATTACTGAGCTTTTATCTTATTTTCTAGGTATTTCATAGTTTTAGGTTTTGCATTTAGGTCTATAATCCATTTTGAGTCTTTTGTGTGTGTGTGTGTGTGTGTGTGTGTGTGTGTGTGGTACCAAGTATAGATAAAATTTCATTTTTTTTTTGCAAATGGGTAGTCAATTGTCCAGACTCATTTGTTGAAAGAGTTAATCTTTCTACATTAAATTGCCTTTGTACTTAAGTCAAAATTCTCTTGTTCATATATGTCTATGTCTATTTCTGAATGCTGTTGTGTCCTATTAATCAATTTGTCTTTGTCTTAAAATTGCTCTGTTTTGATTTCTGTAGCTTTATAATAAATCTTAAAATTAGGTATTGATTTCAGGTCAAGGTATATGTCCAAGATATTTGCTTCTTATTGTATCTTGCATTCAAGGAGAGTACGTCTGATTATTCTTCCCCATGACAGTTTTCTTGGTGTCAGACTGTAATGGGGTGCCTCCAGGTGTTCTCTATCCATGTCACACATACCATTTTCTTCATCTGAACTCTACTTGACCTACGGCAAGCCACAAGGCTCAGGGGAAGCCCCAATAGAGCCCTCTCTCCCCATTGTCAGCAACTTGTATATGACTACATTCCTTTTTGATAATAACCCCCTTCAGATGGTTGTCCAGAACTAAGGACAACTTTAAAAGAACTGTCATCCTATGAAAAATAAAACAGGGCTGTCCTCTTTCTGGTTGGATCACTATGAGGGGGTTGAGTGTATGGTGATGGGAAGAGACTTGAGTTTGGGTAAGGGGTACACAATACAATATACAGATGATGTATCATAGAATTGTACTCTTGAAACCTATATAGTTTTATTGATCAATGCCACCCCAATAAATTTAATAATAAAAAAGGAATAGCCAAGTTCTTGTGGGCTGATCTTAATAACCCAAGCTCAAAATATGGAGGAAAATGTTAGTGTAAGACCTCTCACAGTCCAGCCCCCTTCTCCCCTCTCCAGCTTCAAGAGTCAAATATTGCCTAGTTCTTTTCCTCTGACCTTCCTTTATTTTACATACTGCAAGAAGAGCCCATCACTCATGCTGTACAGTCCCTGTGTTCTGCAAATACCTCTAAAATTAACCAGCACTGAGTGAGAATCTACGTGCCTGGCATTTTCCTGCTTTAGTCATCATTTCATTGAATGCTCACAACCCCAAAGGATAGATACATTTATTAGCCCCATTTCATAGATGAGAAAATTATTTTTATTGAATTTATTTGGGTGACAATGGTTAATAAAATTATATGGGTTTCAGGTGTGTAATTCTATAACACATCATCTCGATATTGTATGTTCACCACCCCAAGTCAAGTCTCCTTCCATCACCATTTAAAGTAGTTGGGTAACATGGCTAAGGTCACACACCTAATAAGTCATAGAAAAGGGCATAAGTCATCCACCAATACATAATGCTGTAGTGTTTAGTGCCAGGATGTATATTTTCTAGCTTGTTTCCTTGATCACCATATGCTTCTCTAGACAGAGGTCATGCAATTTTAATATGCATTTACACTGCACAAAGTGGGAACTCTGCAACTGTTTGCTGAATAAGATAAATCCTAAGTGGAGTTCTAAGTTTCTTGTTCTTAATCTAAGAAGGAGGGCACAAGTACAAAGAAAAAAAAGAAATGTTTAAACTAAATCATTATTTTTCAGTGGTATGAGGGTGGACCAGTGGGAGGAATATTTCATTTATTCATTGAGACAATCAGATTGGGGAAAAAACGGTCAACATCCACAGAAGATCTGAAAACAATGTGGTTAATAACTCCACCTGTGGATGTGTTGGAGTGCATGAAGCTTCCTTACATGACAGGAACAGGAGGTGGTCCCGGGGAAATACATTTAAGAAGGGTAGAAATTAGCATGGAGAGCCCAGGATGGTTGCTTTGGAAGCATTAGGTGGCCTGTGGGATTACTGGGCATCCTAATGAAACTTCATCCATAGGGCCCTGGGTGAAGAGGGAGTAATGAATTTAGCCAGCACTTGTGCAAGGCACACTGTGGCCAAGCTGCTGGGCCTTGTGATCCTGGTGGAGTTCCCCGGGGCCTTGTACCTTTGAAGCTTCTGACAGTCACATATCCTGTCTGTAGAGGGGAAGGGGGTCCAGGGATGTGGCCAGTAGATGCGAGTTGCCTGGTCCCTGCAGGTGACTCTCTGGATGACCTAGGGCCACGTGCTTTTCCAAGTTTCTGGAGAGCCACACTCCTCCCCATAGTGAGACCAAAGGCTGCTATAGGTTTCTCTGATTTCTGCAAATTGACATCCTCTGTCTCAAGTCTTACTTTCTCTCTAACAGCAATGACCCTATCAACGAGATCTGGAATTTCCAATAGCAATTTCATCAAAAAAGAGGCTTAAGGGATTAAAGAATTTGCAAATCTTATACACTGGAAACAGGCCAGGAGTTCAGTGATACTGGAAGAAAACTCAAGATACTCCCAAGAACACCAAAGCCCTTCTCTCTAGCTTCCCCCTTGCTCCTATCACTTTAGAAAGCCCCAACAAAATTGTTGAAAAGCCTGGTCAATAAAAGGCAATTCATGGCCTATTTTTAGCCTGCATCCTATATCAAAACCAAGGAGGAGGCCCGTCCTCAGCATTAACAGCCAGGCTCTGTGCAAACACAAGAGTTGTGGTTAAGAGGAGTGCTTGCATGTTCATCTATGTGCATGGCTGCAGACCCTTCTTCTGGCTGAGATAAATTAGACTTTAAAACTGTCTTTAGCTAATCCATTAGAAAAACAGATACAGCTTAAAATAGTTTCTGAAAGGGAGGAAGGCCTCGACTCTGGGCAGAGTGTGGCAGGGAGACTGTCATTGTGACACCTGATAGCTGAAAGTGTCATGCTTCCACACTTTGTAACCAAGGCTTAGAGAAGACAAGGTGGAGTCAAGATCAACAGTTGTAGACAAGAACTTGAACCTAGATATAGAAACCTATTTAAGGTTATCTTCCCTTCCCAAGGATGGGCAGTCGGGGGCCTTGGCAGTCATTCCCATAGTGTAGGGAACGACTGGTTTTGACAGAGTCTGGAACTGGCTCCCCCATCAGCTCATTTAATAAGAGCTCTCAGCAGAGCAATTCAAGATCCTTCCTGGTGCCTGCTGGGTGTGGGTGGCATCCTATCTTGTAAATCAGAGAGCTCTTTGGCCAGGGTCCCGGCCTTTTTGAAAGTCAAGGGAGCAGGGCCCCAGGTTGGCTGTCCCTCTGATTGGCAATGTGACCTTGGGTAAGGTCACTGCCCCTGTTTGAGCTCAGATGCTCCATTTTATAACAGGAGGGGTAGGATTAGGTAATCTCAAACAGCCCTTTCTTGCTAACTCAGAGCCTATATGCTACAGAGCCCACTGGCCAGTCTGCCAGGGAGCCTTGCTTGGTGCCTGGGAATGACATGGATCTCTTGATCTTCTCACAAGATTTTTTTATCCCCAGTTACTGCTTGATCCTCCAAAACACCTGGCTGGCAGGTCCAGTTATCTCTGTTGTACAGACCAGAAGGCTAAGCTCCAGAGGGCCCAGATGGCTCTTCCAAGGTCACACATTGGCAAGTAATAGAACTGGGGCTAGAAGCAGTGGGACATTTCCCATTCTCCAGAGGTGGAGAAACACTGGCAGAGTAGTGGGTCTCTCCTCCTTGTTCCCAAGGGACAGTATGGCTCAGAGTTAAGAGCTCAGAATGCTGCCTGTTCACTTCCCCTACACAGATCCTAGCCATATGGGAAGCATGGAGCTCAGGGTCAGGGTTTGCACTGGGGAAGTAGGCAGGCAGAGCTCAGGATCACAGTTAGACTGATTCTGCTCCATCTATACTCCTGGCAAGTATAGCGGCTCTGGAATCAGACAGTTGAGGGAGAGGAGCCCCATAGAGGGAACCATTTCCCCCCATCACACAGTGCATTAAGGGAGGCCCCAGATCTGCATGACCAGCACTCTAGCTCAGCTCACCCCAGTGTTGGGAATTCTCTCCCATGATAGAGCGCTGTGGTTTGAGCAAATTGGATGCACTCTGTTGACTATTTGCATAGTTCTACAGTGATGCATCCAGCCTTTTACACCTGAACCTTCAGTACCCAGCCCCACCGCACAACAAATCTCCAGGAGCGGGGGCAGACCCTTCCACTCATTTAGAAGATGAGGAGGTTGGTAGGTTGCCAAATAGAGATTTAGCACCACGTCCTTTGGTTCTCAGTCCCAGGCCTACCCCTTTGCACTAGCTGCTGTCCTGCAGAGCACTGTTTTTTTTTTGGGTTTTGGGAAAGAAAACGAAGTGCTGATATGGTCAGATGTATCAGCCCATCTCTGGTCAGCTGGCTCCCACCCCTTAGGCAGCCCTGCCTGCTCTGCCTGGTGTGCAGGAGACTACAGCAGGGAGGTGGGGGTCTTACCTGCAGCAGTAGTGATGCCCAGGAGACGGCAGGTGTATTCCAGCCCAGTCCAGAACACCTGCAGCTTCATGGTGCTGGGGCAAGGGAAGGGTCCCTGCTGGGCTGGCAGCAAAGGCTCTGGCCTGAAATGCTCTCAGTCGTCCTTTAGGTGGTGGGAAGCTGTGGCTGCCAGGTTGGGGCCCTTGCGGCCCAAGGCTCTGCCTTCCCAAACCAGTCCCAGCCACTGTAGCCTGGCCGAAGTGTGAATAGGGCTCACCTTCCTGGCTTGGCTGCCTGTGCCCTTGTCAGGCAGTAAGCTTAATCATTACCTTGGAAGAATGTCCCCACTACTTTGAGACACTGCTGTGGCTGTGGCCCTAGTGGCAGCCTGAGATCAGGCTGATTAGGGCTGGGCTTGGAGGCAGGCAGCCCAGAGCTGGCAATTAACAGTTTCTGGCTGGGAGGAGGAAGTCTGCCAAGGAGCCAGCCTAGGTTCCTCTTTACTGGGCAGGGCAGAAACAGTCACACGTGGACCTCAGGCTGGTGGAGTCTGGAGAGTTTGTGTCTGGAGGTGACAGTGTGCATGCAGGACCCAATTGGTGCATATATTGGATAGAAAGATGTACCTTTAAATCGCCAGCAGAAACAACTTTTGAAATGAATTCTAAGCTTCTCTTTTTCTGAATATAGGTGGATTAGAAATCTTTCAAGTCTGTGGCAGGTTTGGATTCTGACCAGACATTCTTAGCTCAGACCCATGTGACATGGGGACCTCTCTTTATTCCTGACATGTTTCTGGACATGTGATGTGGGAAATTACTATGATTCTTTGGGACAGAGGTTGCTATGCCAATAATTAACTGGTGACCTTGGAGAAACACAAAAATATTTGTGAGTCTCAGTAACTTGCAGAAAATAAATGAGAGGATTTTGTTAGATCGATGGTTCTTAAGGTATGTTCTGAGAACTGCGCCAAGAAACCCAGCCTCTAAAATTTGGCAGTTGTGGGCTTTCACTAATTCTTAATTTAATAATTTATGTAAGAGATTGAATGATGGCAAGTTTTAGCTTTCCTCCAAAGCATTTTCTGAAATCTACTTCTTTTCTCACTTGAGGTAAACAAAACAACTAAATTAGAAAAAAGAAAAAATAGACCAAATTCTAGTCATAAGGGGAAACTCAGGCATAATCAGTTTTTCTTTCTCTTTTTTTTGGTGAGGATGGATACACTACCATATAATAAATAGATATTTTTTCCTATTAAAATGATTCTAATTTAATCAAGATTTCATAGCATTCCATAAAGACTACCATTGTTTTTCATTTTCCTCTTTGAATGCATTTAAGAACCTCTGTGTTCATGTGACCTTTAAGGCCAAGTTAAAAAATGTATGATTTGAAATTTATTTCTCAGATTACTTGACTGTGTTTAACAGCAGACTGTTTATCAACTCCAAACTTCCCAATTTTCCTCAGATCCTGATACCTGAACCCCATCCCCCAGATATTGTTACCTGGTCTCTGGCCCACACTGTGCTGCACTGAACAGATGGAGCTGCTGGAGGGGGAGGGGATTGTGGGGGGTGGGTGGGAGGTGGGGGGTGGGGTTGGTCAGCAGCCCATGGTTCCATGTCCTGTAGGAACATGTTTTCTCTGGTTGGCCCCACAGTATCCCTTGCTTGGTCCTTGCTGACAGAAGCTGATCTTGTTTGTGTCTGATACCTTCAGGCTCTGAATACAGAAAGCCCTTCTAGGGTTTTGGTGGTGGGTTACGTTCAGCTTGCCCATTCTGGTTCTAGTGTCCCTTTACTAGTGGCTCTGGTTTAGGAATGAGAATATGACCTAATTCTGGTCAAATAGCCTGGAAGACGCACATGTTGATAATTGCTGGGAAAGTATCCCTCACCTTTAACAAGGGGCTGGAAGACATGTGTGTTTCTCCTTTTGGATCCACATGGGCAGCTAACCCCTGATGAGGGTGATGGGGTGGAGGCAAAGGGCATGACCAGCAAGTGGAGTCTGCCCTGTGAGATGAAGAGCAACACAGGGATGTAGTTATGGAGCTGCTTAACTTACCTGTTCATTATTGTTAAGCCAGTTTGCTTAGGTTTTATTACAGCTGAAAGCATTTCTCATGACAAGGTGGGCACTGTCTGAACTGAGTTCTCTCCACAGCCTTTTCCTCACAAAGCTCTTTCCTATGTACTGGGCTCATGTGGAAGGAGGCTGAGGGTTAAGGGCATTCTTACATCCCTGAGGGCACCCCTCCTGCTCTAGGGCTGGTCCCTAAGTGGAAGGAAGAGAGGTGTCTGGGGCTGGTGGTGGAAAGAGAGTAGGGCTTATTGCAAAAGCAAAACATGGAGGAATCCCAGAGAAGGCCCTTTTTGGAGGAAAGACTTGACTGAGACTATGCAAAGGCTATGATTGAGTTCATGACCCCTCTTACTAACATTCAACCGTTTGTGGAGTTCCGTGGGGAAAGAAGACATCTGGCTGGGCAAACAAGTTGCTTAGGCTGCTCAGAATTCAGGGAAAAGATCAGCAGGAATCAAGGACCAGAACCCTTAGAACAGAAGCTGACTGAGAAAGTGGTGAAGCTCCCAGATATGCAAGTCTGAACTTGTAGTCATTAATGGGCCCAAAGAAGAAGAGAATTTCTCTAGCATTTCAGAGAAAACAGTGGATGCCCAGAGAGTTTGTGAAAAGCTGAGAAGGGGGAAGGACAGAGGGAAGAAAAGAGAGCTGTGGATGGCTGTGTGGAACCTTTGTAAAAAGTACAAAAACACACTCTGCATGACAAAAAGGGAGTATCAGATTACAGCAGTGTAGGAAGTAGAATGCTAGGGTCTCTGTGGCTCTGGACAGGGGGGTGATGGGGCTATGACAGAGAGAAAGCACAATTTCAATTTCTATTGTATCCTAAGGAGTCAAACTTACACTAGTGAGTAGAAGTTATGGGGGAAACTGATAGCTCAAAGTAGGGGAAGGTATTCTAACAATTGTTTCCCCATTGATAAGATGGGCTGTGTGGGAGGTCATGAGCTCCTGGGAGCCTGTATGAATATGAGGGTAGGTGGGTGACACTGTGGGCAGTTCTCCAGCATTGATTGGGTGATTCAGACCCGGGAGTCTGTGATTATAGATAGATATGACTTCTGAAAGACTCCAGACAAGTGCTCTGAGAAGTGTCAAGGATACCACCTAGAAAACAAGGGAAGAGAGTTAGAGTTTCTTTCCTAGCTTGCCTCTTCTTCTGGCCCCTGCTTACAGACCCCAAAAATGGGCCAGGGAATGGAGGGGCAGGATTAGTTTGCAGTTAATGGCTCTGTGGCCTGAGACATTCCTTATGCCCTGTCAACCCTAACTTCCTTTTTTGTAAAATAGGTCTAAAGATGTCTTACTGAGTTAGAAGTACTGTTCAAAAGTACCTGTTGAGCAGATGCCAGTAAACACTATAAGTGAACAAAGAAAACTGGCCACATTGTAGCCAAGCCTCGGCAGGTTGTATTGCCACAGGACTCCACCCTCTGAGCCAGCAATACACCAAATGAGGACACAGTCTAGTCCTTAACTCAGGGGAAACCAGGGCAAAGGGAATGCCATTCTTTGGAATGACAGGGCTCACTCTGAGCTATATTTTCCATATTGTTTCACTTCATGGTATACCAACCAGAGTCTCTATGTGTTATAGATATAGGAAGGCAGATTGAGTTTGTAAACCTACAGTAATCCAAGCCATTTGGTAATAAAATGTACTGTCTCCAGGGCTGTGAAAACTAGTGATGATGCCAGTGACAATTATAATAAGTAGTGTTTGTTCAACATTGCATTCCAGGTGCCGTGCAAAGTGCTATATATACACCCTATTCTTAGCATTCACATTTACAGAGGAGGAAGCAGAATCATGTTAGTTTCAGTGCATTTGCTCAAACCCACACAAAACAGAAATGGGGCAATGATGAGTCCAGCAGCCTCAGCTTTGAACCCTCTGCTGTGCCCTCTGGTTTTACAGGTATCTCCATCAGAAAGCCGCCCAGTGACAGGAGACCATTCCAGTAGCTCTGGTGCGCACCATTTGGGGGTTGGGGGAGAACTTTAGGAAGAAACTGGGCATTGGTTTTCTCACAGCTCTTAGATCTGAGGAGGCAGTGGTAGACTTGGGGAAGCCCTCCACTATCTTCAACTGATGGCTGTCCAGGGAGTGCATGCCTCTAGAGGTGTGTTTCACCTGTCCCCTAGCCTTGCCTAGAGTTTCTGTGTGTAGCTATAAATGGATGCTTTACAGATACTCTCTGACATATGGGTTGACAGTAAATTGTGCACCATTATTAGGAGCACAACAATTCCAGATGGCCAGGATGGCTCCGGGGAGATGGAGAAGTCAGAGGAAGATGAAATGTGGGTATATGCTAATCTTCATCTGTTAGGGGTGAGGAAACTTGCATAAAATAGTAGGAAGCTCATGGACATAACTCAAAGCAAATGCTGGGCCCTAGAAACAAATCTTTGGAGCTGGTTTAAGACTTTAACCTCTTCAGTCCCCCTGTCACCTCACCTCACCCCTCATCTTAGTGTCTGCATGTACCAAGTTGAACTTAATCTTTCCGTTCAGTTTTTTTCCTTTTTCCCCTGAGTTTCACATTTTGGTTGCTGGCCTCATTATCACCCTAGTTACCAAAGCAAGAAACATCAAAATTTTGCCAATTCTGTTATAATTGCTTCTCATTTGCCTCTCTGGTCTGTGGCTCCTAGCCTTCTTTAAGTTCAGCTCTCATTATTTCTTACTCTGGTCAATCTCACAGCTGGGTCTCTCAGCCTCCAATTTCATCCTTCTCTAATCAACCCTCCATACTGTGCCCTCGTTGTTTCTGGAGACGGCATATTTTTAAAAGTTACAACCTGCTAAATAATTTCAAAGATTTTCCATTGCCTAAAGAATAAAATCTGAATTCCTTAGTCTAGAATCCCAGGCCTTCTGTAAGCTGTCCTGCTCCATCTCTCCATCTCTCTAGTCGCCTTCTCTTCCCTCTTCTTCTCCAGACTGTCTGGGCCCTCAGCCTCAGCCCCACCAGACACATGCTTGCATGCTGA